GGGATTTCAGGGGAATTTGGGGGTTTTGGGGGATATTGGGGGGGATTTGGGAGATTTTGGGGGTTTTTTTTGGGGTTTTAGGGGAATTTGGAGGATTTGGAGGAATTTGGGGGTGTTTAGAGAGGATTTGGGGGGATTTGTGGAAATGTGGGGGAATTTTAGGGGAATTTGGGGTGATTTGGAGGATTCTGGGGGAAATTTGGGGTGATTTGGGGGGATTTGGAAGATTTTGGGGAGATTTATGGGGATTTGGGAGATTTTGGGGAGAAATTTGGGGGAGTTTAGGAATAATTCGGAAAGGTTTTTTTTGGGCGGGGGTGTCAGAGAAGTTTTCATGGAAATTTGGTTTATTTTGGGGGGAATTTTAGGGGATTTGAAGAATTTCCGGGGTGGGGTTGTGGTTTAAAGCAGATTTCGGGGCGATTTCGGGATTTTTTTGGGCGATTTCACGAAATTTTGGGCCGGGATTTCTTCCCCAAAATTCCAATTTTTAATTTTTTTCGGGAATTTTTGCCCCCAGGCCGGCTGACCCTGTTCGGACAGCGCCTCCTGCTGGTCGTGCACCCGGGCGGGGGGGGAGGGGCGCCGGCCAGCCCCTCCCCCACCCCCCTCAAAGGCCCCTCCCCCCCCGGCGAGGACCCCCAGGCCCCCCTGACCCGCCCCTCCCCCACCTCGTGACCACGCCCCTTTTCCATTGGCCACGCCCCCTTTCTACTGCCAATCAAATCCCCTGGCCACGCCCCCATTTCCCATTGGCCACGCCCCCATTTCCCATTGGCCACGCCCCATTTCCATTGCCCCTCCCACCCCTTGGCCACGCCCCCTTTCCGTCGCACCTCCCACCCATTGGCCACGCCCACTTTCTCATTGGCCACGCCCCTTTCCAGTGTCAATCACACTCTTTGGCCACGCCCCCTTTCCATTAGCCACGCCCCTTACCATTCCACCCATTGGCCACGCCCATTTTCACATTGGCCACGCCCATTTCAAGCGCCAATCATACCCATGGACCACACCCATTTTCCCATTGGCCACGCCCCCATTCCCCCCATTAGCCACGCCCCTTTCATTTGCCTCTTACTTCTTGGCCACGCCCCCATTTCCCTTTGACCACGCCCCCATTTCCCATTGGCTCCGCCCCTTTCATTTGCCTTTTTTACTCATTGGCCACGCCCCATTTTCCCCTTGACCACGCCCCATTTTCCCATCGGCTCCGCCCCTTCATTGACCACGCCCCATTTCCCCCTTGGCCACGCCCCCTTTTCCCATTGGCTCCGCCCCTGAGCCCGGCGGGGCCGCCCCTCATTGCCTTAATGAGGGGGCGTGGCCTCAAGCCCCGCCCCTTTAGTGACGTCACGGGCAGAGCCGGCTCCGCCCCTTCCCGCTCATTTTAATAAGGGGGCGTGGCCTGGCGCGGGGGGCGCGGCTTGTGAATAAAATCCCTTTGGCAAAAAAAAAAAGGAAAAAAGGCTTTTATTTATTATTATTATTATTATTATTATTATCGCTATTATTATTGCTTTTACTATTTTTATTATTAGTATTATTACTATTGTTATTATTAGTAGTATTATTATGGTTATTATTAGTATTGTTAATGTTGTTGCTACTATTATTATTGTTATTATTGTTATGATTATTATTATTATTACAATTACTATTACTATTATTATTATTATTATTATTTGTATTATTATTTCTATTATTATTAGCATAACTATTATTATTATAACTATTATTATTATTACTACTATAATTGTTTATATTATTATTTTTGTTACTATTAATATAATTATTACTATTATTATTGATAATATTGTTATTTTTACTATTATTTTATTACAACTAATATTATTACTGTTATTATTATTTATTACTTTCATCATTATTACTATTATTATTACTTTTATTATTATTATTACTATTACTACTTTTATTACTATTATTATTATTACTATTGTTATTATTTTGTTATTATTTTCCTGAAATCTCCAGAATTTCCCCCAAACTTTTCGTTGTTTTGTTTTTTTGGGTTTTTTTTTCCCCTACGGAAATCCCCGAACCTTTCTTTACCAAAACCCCCCAATTTTCACCCAAATTCACCCCCCAACATTTTTATTTTTATTATTTTTTTGTGGCAGAGGCGGAGGAATTTCCCCCCGGAAAAACCGCGGCGTTTTGAAGGGGGGGAAAAAAATCCCCAATTTTTACCAAATCCCCCCAAATTTCCTTTTATTTTTTTGTGAGGGGGAATGAATGGCGACTTTGGGCGGGAAACGCCGAAGCTTTGACGGAAATCACCGAAAAGCTCCGGAAACACCCGAACCCCTCGGAGTCCGGAAGTGCCCGAAGCGCTCCGGAAACCCCCGAACCCCTCAGAGTCCGGAAGTGCCCGAAGCGCTCCGGAAACCCCCGAACCCCTC